CGCCCACTTAGCAAGGCACTTGCTTGCTTTAGGAAAAGCAACGAAACTGCATTCAGCTAGTGTGCAGTATACTTGGCATCAGAGTTGTGGGATGACATGGAAAACAGAGCTGTTGGGGGTGGGCGGCCCAAAGTCAAGTAGCAAAGGCAGTTGCATTAGCAACAGCAAGGAAACTGCACTACAATGCGCTAGTGCGTGGTAGACTTGGCATCCGAACTGTGACACGACATGGAAAACCCAGCTGCTGAGGTGCTGTCACCGTAGGATGACAACCGCAGCTGCTGCAGGTTTGATGGCCGGAAGCCAGCGATCTGCTGGGAGTGCCTGTGGGAGTGCCTGTGGGACTACATGGACCAAAATCCAATGCCGCACACGATGCGATTCGAACGCACGCGGGGAAACCTCACCGCCTTAGCAGGGCGGCGCCTTAACCACTCGGCCACAGGTGCACAGCAATCCGCAAGCTCCAGATTGCTGCTGAAGTTGAGCTAATATTGGGGACACACCCTAGCTGTCAGTAACTCCAAGTTCGACATGATGACGTAACATGATGACGTAACAAAAGCAACAATAAACAAATGACGCACAAACAAGCAAGGATGCCACACATATCTATTTGCTAGCTCCATGAAAGGAACCAGAACCTGTCAGCAACACCGTACCATGCTACCAGGGAAAGCTGTCACATCTACAGCCCCGTCATATCATGCATCAGTTTGTCGTCATTAAGAGAGCACCCAGACTCTGGGTGCCATGGCTGTGGCATGTATCATCCATCCAATCCCCTTTTTCGTTCTGAACTTATACCATCCCCAATCGCCGCATCTCAACGCACAACAGGCCAGGATGCCCTATTCATGATTTGCAAGTTGACCAACAACCCGCAAGAAGCGTGCATAATACTCAATGACTTAACAGCCGTACGCGGGAGCCTTGTACGACAGGGCAAGTTCAAGCCGTACGGCGAGCGGTTGGCTGTGGAATTCGTACATGCAAGGGGCCGAGCGCGCGCCTAGTGTCTGTCTGTCTGTCTGTCTGTCTGTCTGTCTGTCTGTCTGTCTGTCTGTCTGTCTGTCTGTCTGTCTGTCTGTCTGTCTGTCTGTCTGTCTGTCTGTCTGTCTGTCTGTCTGTCTGTCTGTCTGTCTGTCTGTCTGTCTGTCTGTCTGTCTGTCTGTCTGTCTGTCTGTCTGTCTGTCTGTCTGTCTGTCTGTCTGTCTGTCTGTCTGTCTGTCTGTCTGTCTGTCTGTCTGTCTGTCTGTCTGTCTGTCTGTCTGTCTGTCTGTCTGTCTGTCTGTCTGTCTGTCTGTCTGTCTGTCTGTCTGTCTGTCTGTCTGTCTGTCTGTCTGTCTGTCTGTCTGTCTGTCTGTCT